AGGTCTCTACCACTCTCATACACAAAGAGATTGGTCGAAAGTATGCCTAGACGTTGTCAAGCAATAATCGCTAATGGTGGAGATTGGACACACTGTTAATTAAGTGCGTATTAGTTTATCAGACGTAGTTTCGATGTATGTAAAATTTTTTACAGAAAGAATTAATTTTCTTGTAAAGTTTTCTTGTAATTTTATTGTAAAAGATAAAAAAAGAGGGACATCTTGGAGGATTATATCGAGTTGGAAATTTCACGAGAAAGATTCTCGATATACTAGAACACTTGTTAAATAAACAACAGTTTCTTTCGTTTCGCGTGTCGTTTCGAATGCCATAAATCAGCGAAAGCTACCGCGAGGACAAACAACACAGGGACACTGTGTTACCAGAAATATTTCTGATCTCAAAACCCACGAAAATAAATCGAATCTTTTTCGTTGTTCGAACGTACATTTTGGGTTTCGAGGAATCATCCGGTTTTCGATTAACCGGATCATTTCTATGCGTTTTAAATGTTTTTAACGCGAGACAGCGTCGAAAACGTTGGCCACAGCTGCGTGTTAATTATAGTGAGAACAGACGTTAACGAGAATTTACGATCATCTCTCTGGTGTGTTATAAACAAGCTGTGTTCCATGGTAACTTGGTTGGTTAAGCTTTTACAGTAATAATAATCCTACCGTTGTAAGCTATCAGATGCAGGGAAAATTGCATAATACGGTATTACCTAACCGCTCATTCTCCTAATTAATCTCTTCTCCTCCTTTATCACGCAGATTTTCATTTTCCAGAAGTACCTTCGACTGCGCTCATCTGTCGATCTGAACAAGTTCTTTTCCACTTAACTCTGTATGTAGATGGATAAATAAACGACAGTGTCGAGTGACTCAGCACGAGTCGAGAGAATGAAGAGAAAAATACTGTGCAGAGTGAGAAGCGAAAATACGCGGAGACTAACGATGGAAAACTAAGAAAAAAGTGAAGGAGAGACAAAGGGAGGGAGAGACTTGGGCGAGAAAGTGTCACCATCTGCATTCCCAGATGGTATCATTGGCGCTGAAAGGCTCGAATTGAGCTGATAATAAATTGAATCATGTCCCCTTGGAGTGAATGGTGAAGAGGAACGATCTCAAAGACGCTGTCAGCGAAACGTCACTGATTCAACCTCTCGCTGGTAGCTTCTCTCGAATTAAACTGTTGCCGCGTACGTATAGAGACAGGAGAGAAACTCTTCTCTCAAAGGAATCACCTTCTCCCCTTGGATCCTGTCCCTTCGAACAACCGTCAAGTATCGTCGAGGGAGATGCCCTTTATCTCGCAGGGAAAAATTAGCGGAGTGGGTGAAAAATTGCCGGAGAGACCTTCCATCCTCGGCTTATTTCTTTAGGAAATCTCCTCTTCCGCGACAGAGGAACGGGGTAATCTTTGTACTTTGATACTGATGGAATTTGAAGGATACCGAAGGAACTTTCTTTCTCTTTTACGAGTGATTAAGTTCAGCGAACTTACGGGTCGTTGATAATTATGAACCGAGTAGATTGCAACTGTGGAATTTATTCCCTTTGTTAATTAAAAATTCAGTAACGAGTGGAACTGTAGAGAATTGCTATCGTAGATTTCAATTGCTAGAATACGCTACTTTGATATCTTGTATTTGGAAATTATTCCCTTTGGTAACAAATGGATGCAATTAAATACCATAGATTTCAATTCCCAATTTTATAGAATATCATACTATTTTAATATCTTGTATTTTTAACCCTTTCGCAGTTCAGCTCGATCGCTATAAATCTTAAATACCATAGATTTCAATTGCAAGAGAAAATTCAATTCCCAATTTTATAGAGTAGACACTATTTTAGTATCTTGTATGTTTAACCCTTTCACGGTACAGCTCGATCACTATAAATCCCCATTTACTGTACACCTTAAAAAAACGAAGAGTTGCAAAGAAAACTGTTAAAAACCATAAAAGCGTTAAAACTGCAAATGAATCGAGTAAAATCTAATTCGACAGTTCCCTCGATGTATTTCAATTCCTTCATTGTGGTACATTTAACGAAAAGGAGATAAATAAACGGGAAGAAAACGAGACGTGGATTGAGTTAGCAACGGGTCAAAATGAAACTGGATAACTCGTAAACGGCACAAGTTGACCCTGCGTTCAATTTAGCCTGCCGGAAGGGAAATAACAAAGTCGTAAGAAATGAAATGTAATTGGCCCGCGTATGGTTGTAAAAGAGAGGCTAAACTGGCCGAATAAACGGGCCGCGGTGTGTGCACTCGACATCCAGTCTGTTTCTCGGATACGTAATTTTAGAAACTTGGCACAATTCGAATTTTATTTTCATTCAGGCCAGAACGCGTCGCGGCGCCGTCTTAACATTGAGTTCGCGCCGTGTCTTCGCCAGACAACGCGTCGTCAATTTCTTTCCGAATCTCTCTCCCCCTCTTGCGAATCGAGAAACTTCAGCTTTTGTCGCATATCTGTTGCTTCGCGAATTTTCTTTTCACTTTCGAGACAGACGAGGAATTTTCAGCGATGAAAATTCCCGGTATAAAACAGACGCAGTTTGAAATCTCGACGGAAGAATAATAAATACGAACTCTTCGATTCGAATAACCACCGCGCCAGGAATAACACTTGTAAATTATTCGATCCTTAAGTCACTCGATGTTTGCATTGTAAACATTTTTTAACGCTTCGTTCTATTTTTTGGAGAATAGAAAAAGAGCGACCGTGATTTGTGGAGTATTGGTTTGTCGAACTTTAGAAGTCGATCTTTCCTTTTAATTTTCTGTTTGTACCGGTTGAAAGGTGGAGTACGTAGACACTTTTGGAGAAGAGTTGTCACTCAGTGGGTTATTTCTCTTTGCAAATTTGCAATTTTGCGAATTTACTATTTTGCGAATTTACTATTTAGCAAAATTACAATTTTTGCGAATTTACTATTTTGCGAATTTACTATTTAGCAAATTTACAATTTTTGCGAATTTACTATTTAGCAAATTTACAATTTTTGCGAATTTACTATTTTGCGAATTTACTATTTAGCAAAATTACAATTTTTGCGAATTTACTATTTTGCGAATTTACTATTTTGCGAATTTACTATTTAGCAAATTTACAATTTAGCAATTTTACGATTTTGCGAATTTACAATTTTGTGAATTTACAATTTTGCGAATTTACTACTTTGTGAATTTACAATTTTGCGAATTTACTACTTTGCGAATTTGCAATTTTGCGAATTTACTACTTTGCGAATTTGCAATTTTGCGAATTTACAATTTTGCGAATTTACTACTTTGCGAATTTGCAATTTTGCAAATTTACTATTTAGCAAATTTTTCTATTTTGCAATTTTTCACATTTCATACATTTTGTTGATTCTATGGTTTCACGATTTTTCATATTCGCCCTGAGGAAGACAAATAAATTCGTCATTGGTTCAGAAATACTTAGACCACGATAATTCATTACCTGAAAAATTATTAAATTTCAATTGTGTCAAATATTCACATTCGCCAAATCTTCGTTCATTTTCAATTGCACCCTAGAAAGATTCAATTTCCTTTCGAGAAGCGAAACCTAATTTCCAATTTTTCCAGAATGAAGCGTGCAGGAAAATTCGCGATTTAGTAAACTGACAAGCGACAACGTTCGCAACGTAGCTGGCGTTGTTTCGATAAACGAGACACGCGGTGGAAACAATCGATCACGAGCAGGTTACACCAACTAATCCCGCGCAGCGGTGGAAAAAGAACTAGCCGATCTAAAACGTCCAAGCCATCAAGATGAATGTGTCACGGAGAAAATTTCATTTTCTCGGAGAAACCGCGGGAACAGATTGCGCGATGAAGTATGATCACAGATTTCAGTTAATAAACCGCTGATTACTATTTCATACGATCCCGTCGAACGATGTCGCGAGGTATGAAAAAATCAGTACGGCGATCTGTTTCGAGTTGCGTTCAGCCGGGGATTATCGCGTATCTCGTGTCGTTTGAAGTTTCGATGGAATAACGATCGCGAGAGACGAGGATCAACGTGGGGAAATTGTCGGGAACAATTAAATTGAACGAGTGAATACGGTATTATCGAAGGATCGTGTATTTGATGGATTATACGGGAAAATTATTGTACATTTGCTTGAAATTTGGAGTATTTTATTAGTACCATTTTTTCTTTCCCTTTTCGACGATTTGGAATGGATTTTGTATTCGCTTGAAATTTAAATTGAAACTTATTTTTTCTTTCCCTTTTTATTAACTTAGAATGGACTTTGTATTCCCTTAAAATTTATATTCAAACTTATTTTTTCTTTTTATTAACTTAGAATGGATTTTATATTCGCTTGAAATTTAAATTGAAACTTATTTTTTCTTTCCCTTTTTATTAACTTAGAATGGACTTTGTATTCCCTTAAAATTTATATTCAAACTTATTTTTTCTTTCCCTTTTTATTAACTTAGAATGGACTTTGTATTCCCTTAAAATTTAAAAATTTAAATTGAAACTTATTTTTCTATTATCTATTTTTTCCCCCTTTTTAATAACTTGGAATGGACTTCATATTCCCCTCAAATTTTAATTGAAACTTCTTTTTCTATTATCTATTTTTTCTTTCCCTTTTCACTAACTTAGAGTGAATTTTACATTATTACTGTTTTCTTTTTATAATTTCAATTTCAATCGAAATTCAAACTTTTCTTTTATTACCTATTTTCTCTTCCCTTTTCCGAATAACTTAGAATGAATTTTAATTACTGCTCTCCTCGTTTAATTCTTATTTTAATTCACCAATTTCTCTTTTATCTTTCTTATATTTAATTTTTCCCTCTTATTTCCTGCTTCGCTTCCTCTCCAACCCTGTTTCCTATCACCACAACGACCTTACACCCGTTAACAAACAAACAATCTCTCAATTCCGCTACATCTCCTCCCTGCGATCCAAGTTTCAAAAAAAGGAAAACGTAGAATTCTGTTGGGAAAACTCACTTTTACGGGAATGCAGAAGATTATGAGTAAGAGATCAGCCGTTGCCAAACCACCCAGAAAGACGTTGGTCGGTGTCGCTGGTAAAGGTCTCAGTCTCGGGCACAAAGTCGAACCGATGATGACGACGTTTCCTGAAATAAAGCTCCACGTTACGTAGCCGCTTCTGTCACTTCTCATCCAAACTTGATAATTAGAACGCCCCCCTGTGCGCAACTTTCGCGAAGCAATCAAACGCAACATTCCAGTTCACTCGTATTACATAGAAACCCAATTACCAAGTCATCTCAATCTCACCCCAATCACGCTTCATTTCTCATCCATTTTTTCACGAGAAATATCATACATGGACTTTGGTATTTTTCATAGTCGCGGTAAAAACGTTCTTTTGTATGATATAACGTGTAACATTACTCAATCTACACCGGTGACATAATAATAGAGGAAGTGGATGATAAAATTAGTCATCGTTTTAAGTGACAACTTTTGCAGATATCTGAGCAGCAATGATAAGGAACAATCTGTTGTAATAGCGTCGCAAATGCGAAACTGAAAAGCGTCGAATCCACTGGGAACGTTCTATTCCGGTCATTTTCACTGGAAATTTTGTTTTATTAACCACTGGAGATTACCAAACAAGTTCAAGTAGGAATTAGCTCGTTCTGAGATTTCATTTGCATACACGGTATGCTGCTTTTTATCAATTTTTATCTCTCTGTTATGAGAATTCTAACAGGGCGTTAAGAACGGATGTTTCGGAAAACTGAGAGAAATGGAACTTCGTTATTCTCTGGTAGACAGGGAATTTTTGTTGCACACTGTAGAATAATGATGAGAAAACTTTCTTTGCTGCGGTTTAAAATTGAAATCTTGATAATCTTAGAGCAACCTTAAGAGAACCTAATTTATTATTTCAAAATTAATCACAATGCGTGTATTTTTATCTATAAAAATGGAATTTCCTATCATTCCTCTAAAATCCTAAGTGGAAAAATAATGAAAACATTTCTTATCGATAAAAATCGCGATTAATTTTCGTTTAATTATAAAAATAGAATTTCAATCATACCTTTAAAATCTCAATTGGAACAGCGGCGAAAACATTTCTCATCGATAAAAATCGCGACGAATTTCCACAAAAAAATATAAATTAATATTTCTAAAAATTTTAGACATCGAAGAATTTTGTTTAATTTAGAAAATGGAATTGCGCCAATTTCTCTAAAAATCTCTCTGGAAATTTCTCCAAAGGATTCGATATTCAACGAAGAGTGTTGCATAGAAACGAACGTTCTCGAGATGGAAAGTAATTGTAAGGCTTTTTCACGCGGTACGTTGTCAATCACTCACCGATTAATCCCAGGAAAAACGTGAGGGAGTAGACGACAACTACAGGACCCAATTCCGCCCAGTCGAAGTGGCTGAACGACTCGTTGATGTCGTAATCGAGAAAATCGTCCGTTGCATTAGTCTCGTTCGACATGACTGCGATTAGCTTCTTAACAACGACACTTCAGAGGCTGGAACCACTTGTCGACCGTTCACCACCACGTTTTCCATCGTAAACGCACTTACACACTTCGCCTAACTGCACCCACAATTTCCTACCGTTGCGATCCCTTCGTCGACCTCCCTCTTTGCCCCGTCCAATAACCTTCCAACGTTCGGTCTTCTTCCTCGCATTCTTCTTCTCCCCCTTCGAATTTCTACCAACTGCGACCGCGGTGCATTGCCATAATCGCGGTCCTGGAATTAGAGGAAAAAGAGAAACCTGAAAAGAGCTCACTTTTTCAAGCAAAATTCGCTTGGAAGAAAGCTCAGTTTTTTAAAGCAAAATTCGCTTGGAAGAAAGCTCACTTTTTTAAGTAAAATTCGATTTGGAAGAAAACTCACTTTTTTAAGTAAAATTCGATTTGGAAGAAAACTCATTTTTTGAGTAAAATTTGATTTGGAAGAAAGCTCACTTTTTTAAGCAAAATTCGATTTGGAAGAAAACTCAGTTTTTTAAGCAAAATTCGCTTGGAAGAAAGCTCACTTTTTTAAGCAAAATTCGATTTGGAAGAAAACTCAGTTTTTTAAGCAAAATTCGCTTGGAAGAAAGCTCAAGAAAATTAATTTTTTGAGAAAAATTTGATTTGGAAGAAAGCTCGTTTTTAAGTAAAATTCGATTGGGAAAAAGCCCAGTTTTTGAAGTAAATTCGATTGGGAGAAAGCTCATATTCTGAGCAAAATTAGATTGGCAATAAGCACATTTTTTAAAGTAAAATGCAACTTATTTTTGAGTAAAGAATGATGCACGAAATGGTCGCAAAGAAGCCAACTAAAGAGCTGATAAAGACAGAAATTCAACTCGAAGTTATTTCTAAAATTTTCGATATTTATTTCAAATTTATTCTGCAAATTTCTTGACCGAAAAATCGTCCCAAACTTCGGAAGATCAAAAGCTAATTGCTAGCAGAAAAATGCAATTTAAAGTCACTTTAAAATTTTTCAACTTTGATATAAATTTCGTTCGTCAATTTCTTTTTTGGAAAATCGTTCCAAGCTTCGTAAGATCGAAATAGAAGAACGTGAAGCAGATCGGCGAGCATCTGGCAGGAATGAGCAATTCGATCTCTGAAAGAGTCTTCAACTCGGAGGCTGAATGCACACTTTAAAGGATACTCGTGGTCACAATCAACGTTCTCTTAAACACACAAACCGCCGCAACGCAGTTATTTCGGCTGACAATGCTGTTCAACGTTGTGTGCATAATTCACTCCGACGAAAATCGCTTTTCACATACCTCGAGATTCCACTTCGGAAACAATGTCCGGGGGAATATCGATACGATCGAGGAGGGGAATTCCTTGTGTAAAAATACCCAACATTTCTCTCAACGAGGAATATCTTCGTCGTAAAGAAACAGAAACTACGTTTATCTTTACGAAATACTGCGACGTTAATGTACTATTCGCCAAGTTCGTTTGCATGCAAATTCGCGGATTACACAATGCACTGATTGCCGGGTGAAAAGAAGTAAGATTCGGGAGTGCAGTGTGTATCTACCAGGAAAACTTGAAACCTAACTTTTCGAAGGGAAATTTGAAGAAAACTTGGATTTTTCGAAATTTTGCAAATTTATAGGATAGCTCGATAGAAATATCAGACAATTTTTCTATTCTTCAAAATGAGTCTCAAGGTATAACTCCCAAAAATTTAAAAAATTTTTTTAAATTTGATAAAATCGAATGTAAGGCACTGTCGCGTCGCGTTCTTTTGCGATGTTCAAAAGGAAGCTCGCGGTCGCAACTGTTACCCGCCAAATTAATTTTGGGTAACTAGTTCAAATTTGTTTTGCTCGGAACGTAGAGTACGTCACGAAACAATTGACGACTTGTTTTAAATAACTCGAGTGTTCGATCGCGACTCGAAATGTGCGCGATGTCTCCTCGAACGGTTGGAGATCTAATGGTGTTCGCTCGATCGCCGAATTTTTCTGGAATCCGCAGTGACTCCCCCGCCAAGTGCAAGAAGGCACGCTGATTGGTTTTTCACGTACGCACAAATTACCAATCAACGTGCCCTTCCATTGCGCCCTTAGCGCGCTTTTCCTTGGAAGGAGTGGGGCCCTACCTGCGGGTGCGTGGAATCTTCGCTGTCCTTCGGTGACGCGTCGGAAATTCCCGCCAGGTCAACCCTCGGCCGAGAGTGCTGTTATACGCACGTGTGGATTGACCCTTCAGGAACCCTGGTTTATAACACGTCTTCGGTTATTGAGAACGCGGAAAAGTGAAAATTCTAAAGGCATTGTTCTGTAAGAAATGACTTATTTCTTCGCGGAGCTACGAAGCGACGATGTTCTCAAAAATAACCTCGTGCGAGCGTGCCATAAACCTGGTCAACGAAGACCCCACGCGTTCCGTACCTGCGCGACGGAACAGGCGCCGTGAGTTGTGCCTAGGCAACGACCGCGGGGCCCGAGCTGCAGGGGGCCCTAGACAAGGAGCAGACCCCACGGCTTGCAGGGCCCTAACGGCCGAAGAAGCATATAAAAAGGGGAAAAATGGCAGCGGCTCACACAATACCGTACATCGACGAGTGTTCGGTCCCAAGCACCCGGGGCCGGCAGGACGAGTGCGTAGCCGAGCCGCATAGCATCGGCGGAACCGTGTTACAACGTCGGGATAAGGCCTTCGACAAAGGGATCCCGCGAGGGACCGAAGCGGGACCGCGGTTGCCGAGGCCCGGGTGTTTCTTCGCTTGAGGGGACTCGCGTTGGGTCCTGCGTCGCGTGGGCCGCCAAAGGCGATGATCGCTCGACGTCTTCCGTATCGCGTCGGGTGTGGACGACTCCGTGCTATAAAGCACGGAGGTTTTCACCCTCGACACGGATTCTATCGAGAACACGCCTAAGAAATACAATTGTTTTAGTTCGAAAACGTGTTGATTTCTTTCCTCTAAATAAGACTCGCCCTGCCGCGAGTCAGCGTTCCAAGGATCGAAGAGTTACGGCGTTTTGGGACGCTACAACGAGCGAACCAACATTATTTCAATATCCGTCATTTTAAGCGCCTGTAATTCTTTACTCTTACACGAAATATCAGGGTTACCAAAGTCCCCTTCGAAACAATCTCCTCGACATCTCAACCCTAACTCTGTCTAAAATCCAAGAGCATTCCGCGCAATCACCAAAAATTCAAAGAGAAAAATTAAATAATCAACTTGTAAGAAATGCGAGATTCCAGCGGCGAAGTGGTGGCCTGGACTTTGTAAGCCAGGAAGAGAAAGCGCGCGGGTACCTGAGGATCCCATAAACTAAGCCCTTTCCCCGGAAAATCGAACGAGGGGGCTCCAACGGTGTTTCTGAGCAACGCGGAATACGACGCGGAGAGGACACTCTGGAAATAGCCGTCGAGCGAGACGGACACCGGAGCACTTAGCAGTCGCTTATCACTATACTTTAATACATTTTTGGATACCACCCTATCCTGTGTTAAATTCATTTAAGTTGTGCTTACAAACTTTTCCTGCATGCTTCGGTAACGTGTAGAGAAGAGTGGAGTAAACCGCGAAGGTAGAAAGGACCTATTCGATTTAAGCCTGTGTCGCGGGGAAAGGAACACGAGGCAGAGCGGAGCGTTTTCTTCTTTCTTTTTTTCAAAAGAGTCGACGAATCCTGTTTCCAAGGTTTTTCCACGGTATTGAACGAGGCCGAGCCTCGGGTGAAAATCGTCAAGACGCATCGCGTTACACAAAGCCGTGACCCCGTTCGCGTGCTTCATTAAATGCGACTGCCAATCGAGTTTCGCTTTATCTTCGTAGAAGGAAATTCGATGCTCCGCAGGTAAAAGATAGGGTTCGCTCGATTTATCCATTTTCTTTTTCCAACGATCGAGCCTATTTCTACTACGCGTGGAACGAGAACTTTTTTACACATCGCTGAACGATCGAATCGCCTCTTCGACGCGTGTTTCAAATGCACTCTGATAGATTGTGCTGAAAGGAGTGAAAACGGGAAATTAACTAATTTTCTTTTCTCCCTCGACTTTTAGAGTGATTAACCCCTTGAGCTGCAATTTATTTTCAGGCAGACAATTTCATTTTCTTAGTTTTAACACTAAAACTACCGACCGGGTCAAATATGACCCATCGGCGACTTTCCAAAAGTGCATCTTTATGGAAGTAAAGCGTGACTGAAAAGATTCTTTGGGTCATTCTTGACCCGGCCGATTGTTCTAGCGTTAAGAACCTAGAAGATGAATTTATCGGAAAATTCGATTCACACCGATGCAAATGGAAGCATACATGTTGGTGGATAAAAGTCAGTGCAAAGGTGCTTTCACGTTAATTAACAGAGAGTCCTAGCACTCGTTAACGAGAGTGTAAGTACTGAGATCAAACGTAGATATCACAGTAATACACCATAAACTTAACCGTTTGAGTGCCAAGGAGCGCTCGACATCGAAAAGTGTCACCGCATCGGGCCACGAAGTGTAAATTTTATTCTATTTTTTTATAAAAAAAATTGCACATAAATCCTGCACATAATCAATTTTGCCTTTGTTTCGTGTTATTTCCAAATAGTCGTATTCAGGAAAATGTCGAAAACAAAATTTTTGTAATTTTTCGACATCGAATGAAAGAAGCGCGATCGCGCCGCTTGGCGCTTTTGGATTGGGAAACGACAAAGACCCGTGGCATTCAAACGGTTAATCATCTCTGGTGAAATTAAGCTTCAACATTGTTCTCGACTTTCGAAACACCTTGTAGAACCGTCCAATTGGCAGAAAAGCAACCAGGAAAAAACTGCGCCGTGGTGATTATTCAAAGCGGTCACGGGTGCATAACGAAGATTTAATTTCCATCCGGGTGAGATTCAAAGGTCGGTACAATTTCTCTAAATCCAAGGTACGCGACCGCCAGGGCTATCATATTTTACTTTTATCGCCGTTAACATTCATCACGAGTGCACCGTTACGCCCATAAAAACCGTTCCCTTCGTTACTAAAAGTGAAA